GGGAATTCGGGGCTCGGAAGCACTTCCAGCCAGGACAGAGCAGGCGCTTTCTGCGGCATGACCGGGCCGGGAGGGGGGCTGGGGAGGCCCTGGCCTTGTCCCCAGGGCCCCCTCCCTCGCCCAGCCCGACCAGGGTCTCCAGGGGATCAGCGTGGCGAGGTGCTGCCTACCCCAGCTGCGTGACCCCCAGGGTTGCTGGCCCACCTTGGCAGGTTTTGCCGTCTGTTAAATGAAGTGATAGTCAACCCCCCGACCCCACCCCGACCAAGATTGTGCCCTGGATGAAGCTGCTCCTCCCTCGGCCGGGATCACTGAGCCAATGGCACCTCCCCTGTCACTCCCCCAGCTTGGCAGGGGGTGGACTCTCAGGGGGAACGCCAACAGGTGATGACCCGAAAGCCCTATGCCCTCTCTGAGCGCCCATCCTGTCCACCTGGGTCCTCCCTCCATGTAGCCGCAGGGTTGATCAGGGTGTGTTTCCTGGGGTGACTGGAGCAACACTGTTTGTTGTTTTTTGTCTCCAGTCCTGAGGCTGGAATCCCAGATCCAGGTACGGGCAGGGCTGGGTCCTCCCGAGGCCTCTCTCCTCGGCATGTAGACGGCCGTCTCCTCCCTGTGCCCTCACGGGGTCGTCCCTCTGTGTGTGTCTGTGTCCTGACCTCCTCTTCTTATAAGGACACCAGTCACACTGGGCCAGGGCTCCACCCTAGTGGCCTCATTTTACTTTCTACCTCTTTAAAGGCCTCATCTCCAAATAGTCACATTCTGGGGTTCTGGGGGTCAGGACCCCTATGTATGAATTTGGGGGACACTGTTCAGCCCACGACAACCTATAAGAACAAAAGGGGAGAGAGTGAGTCAAAACTCACTGCACAGGGAGAAAATCCCCGGCTCCTTTCAGGGATCGGCAGGCAGGTGGGGTTCAGGGAGCGGCCAGCAGAACCCTAAACAGACAGGATCTGATTTGATGCCATCAGCAAACCCTGGCGGAGCTTCTCCTGAGGGTCCGAGGGCGCCATGAGGTCCTCAGAGCCCGGTGACGTCTGTGGGGCCCTGCTCTGGCCTCCTGGTCGCAGGCTGTGGGCTCGGCCTGGCTGGCTTGGGCCGGGAGGGACTGACCACACCGCTGACGCCCTCAGCAGCCTGAGACCTGGGACGCCCTCCCCCAACCACAGCATGTTCCCTGTGCTCCTGCCGCGGCCCCAGGGGCTGCGCTGGACGTTGCAGGGCCCACTCACCAGCTCCCATCCTCCCACCAGGAAAGATTTCAAACATACCGTCGAGAACAGACTGACACGTGGGCACCGTGTACCCGCCATCCAGCTTCAGCTAACATTAGCTCCTTGACCTTTGTGCTTCAGATATGTTTTCCATCGAGAAATAAAATATTACGGATAGAACCGGGTGCCTCTCCCCACCCACCCGCTCCCCAGAAGTGGCCACAATCCTGAATTCCATGGTTCTCAAAAGTTTTTATAGTTTTACCACATTTGTAAATGTGCAAGTTATAAAGCAGGGCTAATGCGTGAATCCCCAGTGACGAAATCAGTGTCTGCGTGAGCCTGCTGTGGCTCCGGTTCCTGCAGGTTTAACTGCCGTGTTGCATTCCGGGGAAGGGTGGGGGTCCCACTCCTGCGAGAGGGCTGTGGCACCCGGCTCGGCTAGCGGCAGGACGGCCCATGCAGAAGCGCCGGTGGGCTAATGCGGGTCCCAAGGGGGGTTTCTCTCGCGTTTCCAGGATCCCCGTGGTCAAGCTTCTTGGCTTGTTGCTTATTTTTGTCATCTGTGCCTGAAAGGTGAGCTGCCCTCTGCCCCAAGGCAGCAGGTGGGCGCCCTGGGCTCTCCGTCCAGGCCGTGGGTGGGCTCGGCGCCCCCCGTCCCCCCCCCGCCTTCTCCTCCCCGCACCCCCCGAGGGTCCAGCAGGTGGTGGGCATCACGGGTATTCCTTAGCTCTTTGGACACTGGTCCTCATGAGTCATCCTCACGGAAGCTTTCTTCCCTCCTTGGCCTGTATTTTCACTTTGTTAGGTTGTCTTTTTTCAAACAGGGTATTATCAAGTGTCTCCATTGCAACATCGACGGCTTGTGATTTTACTGACTTGGTTAAGAAATCCTCCCCTCCCCTGAGGTCATAAACATTACGCCTTTAATTTCTCCTGAAAGCTCACAAGCTTTGCTTTTCACATCTAGCTATTTAAGCCACTTGGTATCTGATCTCAGTTTGGGGCGTGAGGTGGAGACCTCATTCATACCTCCCCACTGAGAGAACGCTGTCCCAGCGGCTTCTACTGAAGGTGCCCCCTCCCTGCCTATGAGGAGTCCCTCCCACCGCAGTCACCGTCCTGGCGTGTGGTCTGTTCCACCTGCGCACTTGCCTATCCCTGAGCAAGCGCACGCTGCCTTGTGAGAAGAGACCAGCCCTCCCACCTCCGTGCTTCTTTGAAAACTCTCAGCTCTTCTTAGCTCTTTGATCTCACGTGGGCTGTTTGAGCAACTGACAAGTCCATGAAAAACTCTACTGGGATCATGAAAGGCATTTTATTAGGTTTGTACAGCTGTTTGCCAATAAATGGTTTTATTTTTCAAAACTGAATCTTATCATTCGTGAGCAGGGCATCTCTCTCCATTTAATAAGTTCTGCCTATTTGCCTTCCAGTAACTATAGTCATTTTCTCTTAATAGCCTGGGACATATTCTGTTTGATTTATTCTTAGGAATCTGCGTGGGTTTGTGGCTGTGTTAATTATTCTTTTTTCTACTTGGTTTTTACTGGCATAAATAAATGCTACTGGTTTTGTGTACTTGTTTTCATTAACCTTGTATCCGACAATGTTACTGAGTTCTAATTGGCTTTTCCATCTTGATAATCACAGTATCTTTAAATCAGGACAGTTTTATTTTTTTCCAATGCTGACACTTTTTTGTTTTCTTGTTTTGTTGCTTTGGCAAGAACTTCTAGACCCCACAGATTGATGGTAAAAGAATATGAAAAAGAATATATATGTATAACTGGGTCACTTTACTGCATAGCATAAATTAACACAACACTGTAAATCAACTATACCTCAATATATTTTTTTTTTAAAAAAGAAAGTAGTCATTGTAGACAACCTCCATGTTCCCTGACTTTCATGGAATGATTCTAAAGCTCTAGCACTAAATCTGATGATTGCTGCCATTTTTTGACTGATACCCAGTAACAGATGAGGAATGTTTCCTTCTAGTCTTAGTTTGCTTTAAAAAAAAAATGAAGACAAGCTGCTTACTTTCATGGGGTGCTTTTTCTGCATCTCTTAAGAGTTTTTCTCCTTTGATCTGTCTATTGAAATCGCCAAACGTTGCTGGCTCCCTTCCTGTTGGCAAAGCCATATCTCACATCCCAGCCCTGGCAGCTGCCAGCAACCAGGTGACCCTTTGTTCTAAGGGTTTAGACACCAGGCAAGATGCTCCATGTGACAGACGTGATCTCTGAGATTACAGCTGCTCCATCACTTGAGGTCCTGGAGAGAAAATGGGAGCAGAGCACCAGTCCAGGGTGCCTGGAAACCTCTGTTGTCACAGGCCACCAAGATCTGGGGGCTCTTGTTACTGCAACACAGCAGAGCTATCCTGACTGAGACATTACGTTAGTAGATTTTCTGCTGTTGAACAATACTTGACTTGCTGGATAAGCCTCCTTGCTCACGGTTTTGGGGATCTTAGGGGAGCTTCATACACAGCCCTCCCCACCTGAAGGCTTGAACCAATTAAAAAGTAAGGAAGGGGAGCTGGCGCGTGCAGGACCAAGCCTAGCTGCGTAAATTATAACTTCTTGGCCGGAGACCATGGATCGCGCTTGTGGGTAAGTTGGCTTCCTTACTCTGACCCCTCGAATTAAACAGACAACCCTCCAATGGCCGGCAGCACTGGCCCTGACAAGCCCCCTCCTTGGAGAAGCAAAGGAGAACAGGTCAGGCCCTGGAGGAAGGAAGAGAAGATAGGAGGGATGCCCTGTTTCTCTTTTCAGGTGTGGATTAAGCCTTTAAGCCACTGTGCTCTCCCCGAGATGGAGGACGTAAAGGACAAAGGGGCAGGAACAGAAGGACCAGCTCCTCATGGAAAGAGATGTGGCCACAGAGAAAAAGGCAAGCCCCACAAGGACTAATAAATTCTTCAGGGTGTCTGCAATTTCCTTTCCCTGGGCTGCTTTTGAGAGATTTTGGTATCACCGTTATCCTAGTTTCAGAAATGAGAGGCCTCAGCTTCCCACTTTTTCTGCCTTCTGGGAAAGTCTGTGTGACACGATGTGGTCAAAGGCCCAGCTGTTCACAGCCCTGTATCCCATCCTCACCGATCTGGGCTTGCTGTGTCCATGGATAGTTTTGGCCACTGGAACAGCAGTAAATCCGACACATGTGGAGGCATGAAAAGAGCTTGTGCCCTCGGGTCTCTCGTGGCTCTTGAGAACAGTGACCGCCACGGGAATAGCCATCTTCTTCTGGA